AAAAAACTATCAAAATGCTGATTTAAAAAGGTGGGTTTTAAGATGGCGCTTAAACAAACTAACATCTTTAATGGCGCGAAGGACTGCGGGAATTGAAGTCATGTTAAAACGAAGAGTAACAGATTATGAAAAATCTCTAGATTAAAAAAATGTTTCAGATGAATGCGCCTGGTTTTAGATGTGCTGTACACATGCTGTACATTATCATTAAACATCTCCGGTATAATATCACAAGTCTAAACTAAAGGCCATTAAGCACGTTTTTCTAATTGTTGGTAACTTTCTTTACACTTCACACTATATTGCGCACGAGAAAAGCGTGAATCGGGGTTATGCTACCCAGTCCACCTCGGCTGGTGGTTCATTTGTTCTTTGGCATCACAGAAGGGAAGACAAACGCGTTTGTAGCTCAATTATTCTGAAGCATTTCGTRGTTTAGCTTTCTACATAACTGTCCGGTGGTCAACTCAAAAGGTTGGCATATATATGTACCAATATTTTATCGGGAATTGCAAACTATTGCTTCTGTGTAGATGTTGACTTTGATATTTAGCACGTGCTAGAGTATTTCTCAATGTACGGTTCCATAAGATGTCCACTGATACTCAGACTAAGTTCAGTTGTACTACGTGTTTTTTTTGTATTTCCAGTCCTCAAGACCTTGATGATGACCTTGATGATGACCTCAGTGAGTTTGGAGACAGTGCAGTATCTTTTTGTCTTGGACCATCTGCTAAACGAGAACAACTGCTCAAGTTTGAGGTATGTTTACTCATATTATAACCCTAACTCTAAGAATGTTGTGCCGACGTTTTATGTATTTTTGTGTTGTTGTTTATCAGGTTCAAATACGGTTCAATATTCCTGATATTGTGATCGAACCATCCCTTGATATAATCCAAGATGGTGTGAATAAGATAGCAAGTGATCTAGTTGATGTGTCCAAGGCCATTATGTGGTGGGCTGCTGATGTTAACGAGTCTTTYCATGGCCTGGTGTCTAAAAACGACAAAGTACAAAACCAACTACAGGAGCTGTCTACCGTCGTTACCAGTAAGTACTTTTTCGTTCAGTAKTTACAGACCRTGACACTATAAACACAAGCATCGTTATCCAGTCATGTGAAAGGGTATACCCTCGCGGTACGCAATTGATAACATCCTTTGAACCAATCACAACAAGGAAAATCACTGCTAAGCCAATGAAAATGCTGAGACACGTTACCGTCACGGTCACGGAACGGTACCGTGAGATATTTTACAGTCATGCGATATTTGCCCTATTTTCAATGACATATGGTACTACTTTTGTATTCAGGTCTACAAGAAACAGTCGATAGGCAACTACTGAAGTTTCGTCGTTATGATTTCCTGTGGAAAGATGACATGCAYGCTTTGTATCACTCGTTTGTGGAGAGCGATCCTGGCACAAGCAGGTTTAAAGAAGAGGTGGAGAGCCTGCAGCGAATAGAAGAARACGTGTTAAGTATCCCAGATAGGCTTGCTATTGGGTCTGTTAGTCTGAGCACCTCCCCTATAAAGGACTCTTTGCATGGATTTGCTGTGGCTTGGAAATTACGTTACTCAACACAGTTACACGAAGAAGCCAAGGTTAGTTTCTATATAATGTTACTTGTTTCTCTTCATAATTAAGCATCATTGACTCAATATTTTATCTGTCAAGATCGAGTTGGACAAAATCGTGACCCACAGGAATGATATCTATGAGCARCTGTCTAAACCCGTCACCACCCTAGACGAGTTAAATAGTGCCTTCCAACTACTACWACAGTTAGGAGACATGGAAAACACTATCGATGATGTGTACCTGCCTGTGGAGAACATCTATGATAAGCTGAGGTTAGTATGGACATGTCTTCTGACTATGACTGTAACGAACCCTGTTACGTCGTGACGGGTTTTGTGTCCAAACATTAGGATTGGATCAGCAGTGATCTCATGCTGTGATTGGCTAAAACGAATGTCTTAACGTGACCGTGCCGTAAATGTTTATCATTGTCGCAGAGAATACAAGCTGAATCTACCGCGTAAGGAAGTGGAAGAGGTGGATAATCTCCGTGAAGAATGGACCAAATTGATCGAGCTTGCAGAGGCCGTTAGTATTGATCTRGAATTTTGGAGCACTTTTTTACTGTTGTTTTTGAAAGGATTCGTATAATCATGGTTTGTTTGTTACATTTTTGTAGGTACGCACGGAGTTGTTGGTTAAAAAACGTAATATGTTCGAACAAGAGTTAGATAAAGAAGTCAAGGTAGTTTACTCTATGATGCAATAACACCTAGCACTCTATCAACACAMTCAAATCACAAGCACCGCTTGTACTATATAATCAATTGTCTTTTATTTCTAGGCTTTCGTGGTTAATGTGATCCAGTTTCGTAACAGTTTCGATAGTCAAGGGCCTGGTATTCCTAGCGTTCGACCAGCTGAAGCAGTCATAAGACTACAAGACTTCCAGCAGCGTTATACTCAGTACGAAGCCAACAGGAAGACTTTGGACTCTGTACAACTATTGTTTGGTATCATACCGACTCCATTCCCAGAACTGGATAAAACTGGCGAGGTGAGTGTGCTCACTTAACGCGGCTCAGACACAAGGCAACTGAATCGCGCGCAATTTATCACAGGTGTCCATATTGATAAGTGGCGAGGTGTGTGTAGTCACTTTACGCTTATACACATGGCCACTGAATCGCGCGCAATTTATCAAAGGTGTCTATATTGATAAGTGGCGAGACGAGTGTAGTCACTTTACGCTTATACACATGGCCACTGAATCGCGTTCAACTTATCTCAGGTGTCCATATTGATAAGTGGCGAGGTGGGTGTAGTCAC